TTACTGAGAGCTGAGGACACTCAACAACCTGTTAGAGTGCTGAGTAACATGCAGGACCCAAACATGGTTTATTTATTGTTGTCCATTAATAATGGAGTACCATGATTGAATACTGTTTTTTCCCTGGTGAAAGGGAAGTTTGCTTAAAGGAGAGAGCATTTAAAACTGAAGAATAAAATACAAATCAGGTAGAGAAAAGGCAGGCTACTCTTTTCTGCATGTTTTGGTTGTCTTGGGGAAGGAAATGTAAAACTTTGAGTTGCTTTTGGAAATATGAAATAGAATTCATTATTTCCAACCCTGAGCATGTCTTATTTATTGCATTAGGCATTTCATTATATGCTAGTTTCCAGAAACCCATGTAATATTTCTAGAACACAAGAATTACAGGTCAGTCTTTCACACAAACACTAAGTTTACATTAGTGTATATTGTCTTTTGTGGATGGTGCTGAATATTTTTGTTTCCAACCATATGAAACCATTGCATAGAGCGTCTCTAACTTAAATTGCACAAAAATATCTCAGACAATCCATCTTTTTGTTAATGTTACATCTCTTTGGAGCTCACATTCATTGGAGCTCATTTCCACTGTTTCACAAGCAAGTCTAGGACTTACCATGTACATGACTCACCACAGGCTAATTCAGGTCATTCCAAAATAAAGCAATAATAATAGTAATCCCTGTTCTGTCTGTATCTGCTCCGTGTAATACTGAAAACAAGTCATGAATACAAAGAGTTTGTAGGTAGGGAAGGGAAATCCTGTTTCTTGTTAAAGCAAAACAGTCATATTATAAATAGGAGGAATCAACTAAAATTAATACATGAAAGTCCAGATTTATTGAATCTTAATATCCAAACTTCCACATTTACTGAATTTCTAGCATGTCGCTGATGCAACAGAGCTGAAGCTAAGCTCCTGCAGAGCTCCATTTTGCCTAACTCTCCTGATACATTGAATTCCCAATTATCATACGTGGTTTGCAAAATTCGGATTCAATTGCAACTCTTATAAAGGCAATTCCTTCTCATCTAAGTTGAAGCAAAGGATGAGACCACAGCCAAGCTGTTTTGTATTTCATCATTTCTGGGTACTTCATTAGGGGTAGATTTTGATTAGCCCAAATATGACCTCAGAGAGGAGTAACGGCCTCCTAATCATAGCACAACCGCATTAGGGCTGTTCACACTGTGGCTCCCAGTACCCTAAGGAGTGCAGCCTTTGCACTCCCACTGCTCCGCACTGTGATCAAGTGGGGGCAAAACAGGGGTAGGCAGAACCTTGGCTCCACTCCGCAATCTGCCAGTAGATCTACATGAACACACAGAGAGGAAGTAATCTACAACCTTTCCCGGGCTGCAGTAATCTGCTTTCCTCAAGAGCAAGAGGCAGAAGGGTGGAATTGTGACGCTTATGCCATACTTTTTCCTGCTGTTCAGATGGGGGCATAGCTTCTACAGATAATTCTCACTCAGAACTAAGCCTAGCTCTTAATTTCTTAGAGAAAAATAAAAGGATATTTGTATCACAAATGCAGTAATGAGGAGCCCTGTATTCATAGGGTTTACGGGTTGCTGTCACCCAACGACTGAATTTGTTATACAAACGAAGTTTGCATTTTATCCATGATGGATGATTTCTGGCGACATGAGACTTAAAGAATTACCATTTCACTTGTTTAAAAGGTGGGAAATTGTAGCGAAGTGGGTGTGCAGATTGAAGTCTATGAAAGACACAATTCTTTCCCATCTGCATGGTGTCTGCAGGCATTCTCTTACCCATATTTCTGGAATCCTAGGAGTCTATCATGCATATACAGTAATAAAGTTTCCTGTTATAAGGGGTCTTCTCCGCAGCTTATGACCTTTAAAAAAAGAGACAGAGCAACCACAGATTTCATGAACCACTCTTGTCAAATTTCAGTGCTGTGGTTATCACGCAGGAATTAATCAATGAGGCAGTACCAAAGTAAATGAAAATCACAATGCAGTAAACCAAAAGTCTCTGTTGTTTAAGATAGATAGACAGAAAAACATCTCTATGACTTTTGTTGGTATGCAGATTTTTAGAGAAAAGACAATCAGATAGATAATGTAGTTCCTATATGTTTTCTTTTCCTTTAATTTATGAAGAGATTTGATTGAAATACATAGATGCATAAACACAGGTAATCTCTACAATGGATTTTTTTTTCCAGGACCATTCATTCTGATGAACTGGGATTTGTCTGAGTTATATTACAGTATATTATCCATATCATCCATACTGATATGTATTTTCTTTTTCTTGCGTTTGATGGCATAATACAGATTAAAAGAAAAAAAATCATGGGGTGAGAATCTTAGCAGTAACAACAACAACAACAACTACAAATTACATTTCTGTAATAGTCATTTGCTATGGGTGTATCCACACAGAAAAAACTAAAAAAGTACTAAAACACAAGGGGGGAGGGGCGGGAGGAGAGACATGAAATGATTTAAGCTGCAACTGAACTGAAACTCTGGATCCAAATACTATCCTCCTCCCAAATTTGGAGCCATCCAACATCTAGATCTGTTATATGTAGCAGGAACACTTCCCTCAAAATAATTAAAATGAATTCATAGTGTTTTCCTGAACACTTTTGAGATTTAAAATAAAATCTTAAACTCTCCTTTTTAAGTTGTTGGCACTTATTAGGTATTTAATTCTTTTTGTTTTAACTCTATCTTTGTTTTGTTACTGAACATACATTTTCTATGAGCTCATTTATTTGAAGAAATACAGTTTCTCTCTTTTGTTTCTCCACCCAATATTCTTTCAGAATTCTCTGCAGTGGGCCTAACATCTTCCATTCCAAATTGCTCTCCATCCAATATGTTAACAGAAGCCAAATGTCTTCTCAAGGGCTATAGTCAGATTACACAATGGCACAGAAGACAGAAGGGAAGAGGAACAATTTGGTTTTGAAACATTTCCCCCTCCTATTTGCTTTCTGAATGTATCCGGGTGCTATATGCATATTCTGAATGGACCTTTTGCCCTTTTAAACATGGGCCTTTTGGAACCAAGAATAAAATCTGTAGCATCACAAAGCTTATATTTACTGAGGTAGAGAAACAAGTTAAAATACAAAGTTCTATTTTTGCAAACCCCTTAAATTCCTCATAGATATTGTTTTAGATTGTCATACTTGTATACCAAGCTAGCAAGGTAAAAACACCTTCTCTCATCTCTCTTCCATCTAAATACAGACAACAGGAGGTTGTTAAGATTTATAGAGGTAAATATGGCAGATTCTTCCATTTCCTCAGACCGGGATACATTTTTAAAAAAATATTCAGAATCATCTTAATCCTTGAGTAATTTGACTTGTAAGAAAGAAAGGAAAACATTACAAAGAGAACTTTTCAATCATTCATAATTCCTTACAAGGGGGCACCCCTAGGCTTAGGTGTGTGGTTTGCATCTTCTCTGTTTAACATACACATGTGCAGTTAAAAAGAAGGGTGCATCTCCACAACTGTGCACTTATTTTCTTGCTATTCTTTATGCTTGAATTAGGTTTTGTGCTTTTATGTCCCTCAACTGTATTGCATATGACCACTGAAGCCTTTTTGAGAAATCATAGCTTTAAGTTTTAATGCTGCTTCTGATGTTAAGAAACTATTCTTTCATATTTTAAATCACCGAACAACAGATTGAGGGAGAGGGTATGAGGAAAAATTTCCATTATTCTGAGTGAGCTGGAGATTTTTTGTTGTTTGTTTATTTGCTAAACACCTTAACCATATCAACCATATCAAGTACAACAGTTGAATCAAGTGAAAGAACTTCCTCCATTCCACACTAAGAACATATATACATAAAGCTGAGTTGCTAGTAATATATACATAGTAAGACCACACCTAGAAATATCACTGTGACTTACCTTATATAGTCACAAATGCTGAAGATATGTAAACTCTAGCAAAAATTATGTATCCATAGACTATATTCTTCATTGTTTGCATTCAAATTGATTTTCTAGGCCTGATCAAGGAGACTACTGGCATGAGTAAAGGTTTGCCTTAATTTTACATTGAAAAATGGAATATGGCCCTTACATTAGGAGCATAACATAGTAACAGAAGGAAGAAAAAGGAACATTTCGGGTAGCTTAGTAATATCATAGCTCAAAGGAGCTCATTTAATTGAATCTAACATTTAAAATGATGCCAACATATTGGGCAGGCTGCTTTTGCCTATGCTAGTGAGCAGCAAAAGTAACTTCACTCAACATATTAACTCAGGTGTGTGGAGGAATCATTCTGTGATATCCACAAAGAAAAATTATATCACTCCTTGACATTATAGACCTTTTTTTGCTGCAACCAACTCCACCAAAGTGAACATATTCTGTATTAGTATAAAATAATAAAAATCTCCACTTCTGCCAAAACAAAACAAAAAAAACCCCAACAGCTAAACACCCCTTATGTCCTTAACACAGTGTTAGAACTCTGAGGAGTGATACTTTTTGCTGACTTCTCCTCTTCTTTATATGTGAAATGGAGGAGATTTTGTATGAAAACACATACAACTCAGAACTGGTGAACTCACTGAGCCAAGAGCAGTAAAATGATGTTATGGTGACATTTTAGATTTATGAGAATATAGCCCCTCCCACTCCCCCCCCCCCCCAAAACTAATTTTTTTTAGAGGTGAAGGCAGCTGTTTATAGTAAGGGAAGAATCAGCATAGTTCAGTTAACAAAAACTTCACAAAATATCAAAAGGGGTTCAAAATTAAATCAATGCAAGTAATACGATTAAAATGGGAGCTATGCACCCACAAGTATATTCTCTTTTACAACACAAAATTGGTCCAAATATTCTTAAAAGAAGTTGCGATAGATCAATGGATGCACTCAACAATAAAACATTTCTATCAAATTAGCTAGTTAAATGGAAACTCCACCTAATTATTCCAATGCACATTTAGTACTTTTCTGTTTAAGAAATGAGTCACTTACCTAAAACCCCCAGCCTGTAGTTGAGGGTTACAACGATGACATTTCCATAGCTTGCTAGAATGCTCCCATCAATCATGTTGCCAGTACCCTCCATGTAAGATCCCCCGTGGATGTAGACCATAACGGGTTTCTTGTTGTTCTGATCATGAATGTCTGGAAAAAAATGCAAGTAAGGAAGACACAATAAAGTAATAAAAATATTGAAACAAAATAGGTAGTTGCTTTTTCACAAAAGTGCTATTAAAATAATTTCTTTTCCCCATATTTTCAATTTTATCTACAGCTCTTCAGTCAACTAGCTTTCCTCTGTGCTTGTACTTAGGTCACTTCAGAGTGATCGACGTCAAACTCAGTGGGTTTAGAGGCTGAGAAATTGTTTTTGGTATTTGTTTGTTACTTCCAAGTATAGTTTCATAAGGAATGTTCTCAGAACACTGGGAAAGTACTATAGTGTGTAAGAAATTTAACTGTAAGATAAATGAGAAGCCTCAATAGAAAATTAAATTGCACAGTAACTGGTGTCACTATTAGAATATTCTCAACACAAAATTCTAACTAATCAAGATAAACCAATACATTAAATCATAAAATGATACCATTGATCCAGTCTTCCCATTCCCCCAGCAACTGAGAGACATCTTTGTGGAAAGTATAAAGCTGCATTTCTTACTGCAATAACAGGCAACATCTTAACATTAAATTATCCAAATAAAAAAACCTAAACATGGCAAATCATCTCCTGTTTGAACCTGTCTAGGAGTTAACAAATAGGAGTAGCCTAGTACTCAACATCAAGATTTTGTTCCCAAACAAAATGAAGCTTTTAGTGTCATGTTGTGCCTAATCAAAGTGACAAGGTAGATGATCTTGCTGGTAAAGAACTAGATTAAAACCCAGGAGTTCTCTGTTCTAGTCTATATCTAAACAAAAGAACATAACACAATGATGAATATTGTACTCTGCTCAGTGAAGTACTGGAAAGCATATTTGATGACTATTGCACAGGCTCAGATTAGCCCTTGAAATATAACAGATACTAAAATGGTTTCTATGACAATGGAACCTCAAGAACAGCACTAAAAAGCATGAAACCTTGTAAAATAATTTGTTTTATTTAATCTTCTCTTATTATCAAGTGTTACCTAAAGGCTTGATCTTACAACATCAAAGTCAAAGGGAGTTTTACTATTTGAAATCAATGGGAGCAGGACTGGACAAAAATTAAGGCACTCAATCCATCACAATTTACTAGCAACCTGTTTATATCTAAAGTGATAATATATTTTTAAAATAATGAATGAACTATTTATTCCCTCTGTTGTGGACTTTAGGATATTACTTAGCCTTAGAATAGGCACTCATTAATAAAACAATTATTGATCATAATATAGTATATGTCTACCTTTCAAATTGTTTTTGTTTCTTCTAACTGGTTATGCAATCTGGTGTCACAAGTCATGGTACTGTCAGTTAGAAATTCATTTCTTGTATCAGTTATAAAAGAGAGGGTGTTATTTGGGCAAGAGTGAGGCTTCTTTTAGAGTGTTGTGTAAAGTTCTGGTCCACTTATTGGAAAGAAAGTATATTACAGCAATGAAGAAGGTACAATGGAGGGCAACTGATATGATACAAGGGCCAGAGATTTGAGTTACTGTCCTTTAAAAGGTTAGAGTAAATACAGCAGGACTGAACTCTCAAGAAAAGAGGAGATTAAGAGTGACTTCACTGTGATGTACACAACTCTGAAGGAAAGAGAAAAGAATTGTAACCCAACTATTTGAGCTGGTGTCAGATATAAGAACACAGGAGCAAGATATGAAATAACACTTAGAAAAGGCCAGATATAAGGAATTTGGGCTAAATTTCTGTACTCTATTACATCTACCAACTATTCTCAAACTACCAAGGGCTGTAATGTGAGCCCTAATTCAGGGGTAATTAATGTAACTAATTCAGACATTTTTTTAAAAATCTAATGAGTATTTAAATGAAAATGGATAGTCAGTATAACTTAAGTAAGAAGCAAGGATGAGTACAGAGAGAAATTTCATGACTTTTTTCCATGTTTAAAAGATCCTAAAAAGCTTCACTGCCAAAGAAGGAAACAAAACTATCTCATTGTAACACTTTTTATGATACTTCCTGTTAACTTTAGCATTTCCTTTCAATGGATCCAATCCAACTTTCCCAGAGGTCGTTGAAAAGATCATCACTGATTTCAATGGGATTTGGGTCAGGGTCAGATAAAATATAGCCTAGAAAATTGGCTAATTATAGGAGAAAATAGTGAAGCATCATCAATAGGCTTCCTTTATTTTTGTACCCTAGAAATAAAACATGTACCAAGAAGAAAATTAAATAAAAACACCACAGATGAGTTTCAAAGCAATTGCATCCACCATATAGTTTGTGCATCTGGGGAGGGAAAGAAGAATGGTAGAAATAACATGTGCTGTTTCATGAGTTTCATAAAGCAAGGTGAACTTACACAATGTATTAGAGGTAGAAAGGAGGAAGAACACATGCAAGTTTTTAAATTCCATTTTCTTTTCCTATGCAACAGTGAAGGGTGGAGGGAAACATTTGGTTGTAAATAATATTTATGCATGTTACTCACTTCACACATATTTAGGGATAACCTTTGTACTTATCTCACAAGGGAGCTACAGTCATCTATACGCTAATTTGGGTTTTAAAAATAAAAAAATAAAAATGGTTTCCAAAACAAGAAGAAAATAAATAAGCACATCGAAGTGCACTTTTGTCAAATAAGGGGGAAAAATCATGTTGAAATAATAATAATAAAAAGAAGAAGTTTATGTTCATGCATCAGGGTCGAGCTTGGGAAAAAAATACCTTCATCTTCACCGCGATCATTATTGGTTATATCATCTGGGCTTTTCTTTGTGTTGGCTCCTGGGGTCATAGTGAGAAGAATAAAGGGAAAAAAGAGAATTCAAAAACAGCAGATTCTTCAAAATTAAAAAAAACAAAATATAACCACTAGCCCCGAAAAATAAAAAAAATAGAAAAATGTAACACAAAAAGTCAAAATCTGTTACATTTGAAAAATTAAAAAAAAGATGCAAACTGCATACAAACATAAGATGTCAAGAAGAACAAATTCAAAATATTATTTCAAAAATATATGTATATCTCTAGTAAATCATCTGACAATTAAGCTATTTTGGTTAAAAGTCATTGCTGCAAAAACAAAATTAATGTGCAATTAAAAAGTAATATAAATAAAAAATATTAAATCCACCAAATTATCAGTTTTTCATAAGAAATACAGGTATTTTTATTTCTTTCTGTAATCTTGAAGGAATTATCACCTTTTAGTCACTATCTGAATTAACTTAATATTTGAATCATCCTCATGATGATTTATTAAATACTTTAATGAAAATAAAATTATGTATGAGTTTTATGTAACACTTGGTCTGTATCGAGACAATCCAGAATGTCCTTTTTTCTTTAAATCCAATTTCCTATGTAAGCAAAAAGACATTAAAAACACCAAATTTGAAAAACTGAAGAAATAAATTGTGAAAGACTCACTCCAAGCTATGGAATCAGCCCACAAGTAGCCCTGACTCACATAAAAGTGCACTGAATGGCCTTTACATAGTCAGAAATGAACTGAAAGTAGTTACTTACCATGACAATAAAACCATAATAATTTATCACAGACTTACTTAAGAATAGTAAACACTCACGTGTATTGAGAACATTATATATTTGTCTTGTGCTCAGGAGAAAAATATGAAATAGTACAGATAGTTATAAGGCCATCTCTCCACATCCCCAATTCTGAAAATGAGTCTAGATCTTGTCTTTAAAATGTCATATAACTATTCTGGTGCTGGGCATCTGATCATGTATTGCTAACTGTGCAGCAAACAGTTCACTGAAATGTGAACAGTTATCTGCTAGTGACTAAAATAAGAATGGAAAATTCATTTCCTTTCTAAGCAGAGTTAGAATTGAAATGTGGCTTCTAAAGATAAGTGACTGATGGGCTAAATAACCATGCTAACCTGTATATCTCTTTATTGCCTTTATTGGGGAGTATATTTTCTGTTCAGACTGAAGTGGAGCTATATACTTTGTTAATACGGGCAGAACACATATTTCACAATGAAACATATGATAGGATCTGCTATAATAATATATTTTCTTTTACAATTTATGATGACTACATATTTGACTCAATCCTCCTCCTATTGTATTCAGTAGCAAAAGTCTCACTGACTTGACTGAGTTCAGGATAAGGGCCTATTCTGTGTAAATGTCACTTGGTTTAGTTTCCATATTGACATTAAATTACTTAAATATTTTAATGTACTCACAGTTTTGTGTTAAAAAAGATTTAAATGAATGGAGTTGAACAGAAAATTCAGTCTATTGTGTTCTGAATTTTTAACAAGTCTCAATTTTCGATAGAAAATAGGCACATTATTTTTCTTCTACTTTTCTATTTAAAAATAAATTAGAAAAAACACCACAAATTAAAGGTAAAATATTCCAAGACAATACAATGGTCACTGCAAATAAGAATGGAATGTACTTAAAAATTGTTAGTGCAACAAGTGGTGTTGAAATGTGTCCTGTACATCATTTTGCTTTATGCCACCATCTTGACAAGAAAGCAGTGCAGATTTTATTTGTGAACATTCAAGGAGAGCTACTCACATAAGATCCCTCTAGCTGGAATTTAAAGCCAGATGAATTCAAATTAGGAATAAGACACTTAAAAAAAAAAAAAAGCAGTGAGGGAGATTAACCATTGGAACAAACTACCAAAGGCAGTGGTGGATTCTCCATCTCTTGATGTCTTCAGATCAAGACTGGAAGCCTTTCTGGAAGATACGGTTTAGTCAAATACAAGTTACTGGGCTCAAAACAGGAGTAACTGGGTGAAAGTTCTGTGTTACACAGGAGGTCAGACTAAACAATCTAATGGTCTATTCTGGCCTTAAAATCTGCGAATTTATTAGGTGGATCTCAGATGCAGAGCAGAAATTCCAGATACCAAACAGGGATTTGTACCACCTGTTCTCCAAAAATAGTTTGGGTGAGCTTTTGGAAATGTGATTCAGCCAAAAGAGAGGCGTGTTGCTTTAACAAATCTCTTTCCAAATGCTACCCAA